TTTGTAAGTTTCGTTATTTTGAATAAAACATTTAAAAACATTTTTTTATTAAAAAAGAAAAAGTTGGTTGAGCACATGGTTGATAGGTAACGCTAAATTCCCGACAGCTGTGAACGCATCTATGTCCAGTGAGACCTTCAGGTAACCTCGGAGAACACAGTGACATCAATGAGAGCGGTGATCAGAGGACGGTTCCCCCGGCTGCCTCTCGCTGCCTCTCGGATTAAACGCACCAACAGTTGGACCAGATGAGGGTTTAGTCTGAGTCTGGACCTGGACTCGGTTTTGCTGAAGTTTTCAGTCCCGGTTGCTCTCGACCTGTGAGTCAAAGTGGCCGAATTTTGCGTAATCGGCGCCCGAATGTCCAAACTACCAGGAAATGCAGGTGTGTCGTTGCTGGGCGACAAGTCGCTGGAGTTCTACCGGGACCCGGTGAGCTTCTACCGGCAGAAGGTCGACAAGCACCGGGGCAGAGTGTTCCAGGGCCGGCTGCTCAACAGACCCACCGTCTTCATCTGCTCCGTGGAGGGGATGAGAGAGCTGCTGTGTGGTGAGTCCTCTGTACACAACCACACACACACACACACACCTGTGCAGGTGTGTGTGTGAGACAGGTGTCCACAGTTAAGCTAGCTTGTGTCTCATTAGCCTGGTTACGGTTTCCTTGTCTCATTCTGTCCTGAGGCTGAAGAACAAAAGCTCGATTAGCTTCATGTAGTAATCCTCACTCAGGGATGTGTCATGGGAGAGACTCGTGATTAGAAAGAGGGGAACTATGAGGTTTTATTAAGGTTTTACTGTAGCTTCATTGTCTTCCTGCTGATTCCAGAGACACCGTTAACAACCATGATGTGACAGATATAAGCTTAATAAAACATTTGTACTAATAATGACAGAAAAACACATTAAGAGTCCACTGAAGATTTATAGAAAACCAGCTCGGAGTAAGACAGAGCCTAAGACAAGAAGTTACATGAGTTCATACATGAAATATAATCCTGTAAATATAATCCTGTAAAAACTGAACACCAGACGATATAACTTCTTAATGCATCATTAACTTTTCCTGGTTACGATTGAGTCTGAAGTTAAAAAGATCCTCATTTAAACCAGGATGTCATCAAATTCTATGTGTTTTATTACTTCGGACAATATATGTGAACTGGAAATGTCCACAAACACTTAAATTAAATAAAAAAGAGTTGTGACCTGTTTGTCTTGGTGTTGTTCAGCTTTGGTTTGGAGTCGGTGAGTCACGTGACGTGGAAACCTTTGTGTTTTTTAAAAAATATTAATCATATAAAATAAAATCTATCCAAAAGAAGTGTCTCTTATTTGTCTTGGTTGATGATATCGGATATGATTTGGAGTCAGTGGTTCACATGATATGGAAGCTAACAATAAGTATTGGTGTAAACACTCACTGAAGTCCACACATACAGTATTTATATTTGTGGTTTATAAGAACGTACTTTTCCAATGTGTGCATTTGTTAATGTTGTTATTCTGTCACTGTCACTCATCCAACGAAACATCCTCAATATCTCTCTCTCTCCTGCTTTGTGTTAGGCACACACACACACACACACACACTCACACACACTCGCAGATAGAGACATGTACATGTGTGTGTGTTTGTGTGTATGTAAATGTGGTTTTTTGGTTTATTTTAGAGAAATCCAACGTGTTCCTGAAGGATCCCACTGACTTGATGACCAACATGTACGGTGACACCATTGTTACCACTAATGGTAAAAACACACCTACACACACACAACTCCACAAATACCACAAACAAGAGCATCTACTGTCTCCCTATGATGATGCTACAGCATCAAGGCTTCAACAACTCTTTGACCAGAAGTAACCAGTGTCTGTTCTGGCCAAGAAATCTGCTGCTTCTAATGAGTATATGTTTGCCTCTCAGTGCAGTATATATACTTTAGAGTTGTGTAGTACAATCATAACGTATAATATAATATACATAATATGTATAAATGTGTTTCAATTCTGCTCTGCAAACATAAATAAGAGAAACTTGTATCTGTGTGTTTCAGGTGAAGAGGCTTGTCTTCTCCGTCTGTCCCTCACCAGCCTGTTTACAGGAAGCTGTTTGAAATCGTCAAGTGAATATATCAGCAGGTAGGGAAACAGTGTTTCGGCATAAAATCACATTATCTACAGCGTTCGGTGTGTAATATGGGGAATTAATGCTGGACTAACTTGTGGGTGTAAATCAGCTGCCAGGACACATTTTTAGAAAATTCTCCCTTGTATTTACTTAAAAATAAGAAAATGGTGTGTTTTTCTTTTCTCTATCTCTCTACAGTGTATGTGTCCGCTGTCTGAAGGACCTCTCTCTCAGGTAACACTGAAAACAAACCTCCAACACTCAAAGTATTCACATTTAATGTTTAATAACTGTTAAAATGCATCTCATTTATATGAAAGACTCAATATTTTTGGACAGTAAAAGTAATGTATGAAACTAATCAATGCATCTGATGCATGTATGTATGTGTGTGTAGTGGGCAGCCAGAGTGTGTGTACTCTGTCTTCAAGCGTCTGGGGACGGAGTTGGTTTTGGGCCTTTTTCTGAACGTAAGAGCGGAGGAGCAGCCTGAACTGTTCCAAGAAATCATGCAGCTCTGCACCCTGCACTGGCACGGTAAGAGACAGAGACAGACAGACTGAGTTGGTATTGTGAGACGCTTTCTTACTCTTGCATCTCGTTTAGTAAGTCAGCGTTCTAGTTATGCAATACAATATTGCACAATTTACCAGTTCCCCCTTTCATTTCACTTCATTGAGTGTTTGTCTCTGTTAATTTTTGACCATTGTTGTTTGTTTCCTCTGCCCCCACAGGTCTGATCTCTGCCCCTGTGAACGTGAAGGTTCCTCTCTGGTCGTCGGGTTTCTCCACTGCTCTGGACGCCAGAGACAAACTGATGGACATCATCAAAAACAAACTGGAGAATGACACACAGGGGTTAGATTCTACACCTGCAGAAAGACATTTTAAACTTTTTTACAACATTGAAAGTTCGCTGAACTTAAGTTCCTAGAAAAGTAGCTACTGACTCATCCTTTACCTTCTCATTCAGCTTGTTTGAATCCAAAGGAGGCAGAAATGTGCATATCTTCAGATTTTCTGCAGTTTTCAGACACCTGGCTGCTAAACCAATACAGTGACATTAACATCTGAAAACAGTGAAGTCTCTTCATCGTCTCTATGCCTTTCTCATGCCAGAAATTCTCTCTCCCTCTGACCCTCTCTAGTTTTGTCGGCTCTCTCGGCTCTTTGCCGCTGCCTGACTCCAGCGCTGCCTCCCAGCATCTCCTGCTTTTCATCTCAGCTCTGATCCCTAAAGCTTTGGCATCTCTGCTCACCTCCTTCACATTGGCACTCAGTGGAAACGAACAGGTACACGAACACAGGCCAAAGTTCACAAAGTGACGACGGGATACGGCTGAAAACATAGATTTTTGAAACAGTTGCACAAACGAGGCTTTCTAGCTCTTTTGATTGTAAGAATTTGAAAAGAATTAACTCATTGTGTTTTAGATCAACCCTAAATAAAAAACCTGTGATGGAAATTAGCATTATAACAGCACTATATGCAAAATTATAAATGCTGCCAGTATATTGAGACCTCGATAATAAGTATGCGCCCTAACTTAATAATTGCCCAGAGCTTCTTGTTTTACTTTAAATTCACAAATACAAATCTTTTCTCTTTTGAATTTCAGGAGGAGAAACGTCAGCGAGCGAGAGAAGACCCTGATTACCTGCACAGCGTACTGTTGGAGGTGCAGAGACTCTGGCCTCCTTTCATCGGCGGACGCAGAATTGCTGATCAGGTAGGACATGAACAGTTTCTATTGGTTTTCCTAGATCTGGTCATGGTGACTCAAAATAGGGACACCTTGTTTTGCTGACCACTGCCACCACTGTAAATGTTAGAGCATCATGAAGCGTTGGTGGATTTATTTAGACTCCAGGATTTTATTTAGTTGTTCTGCATGTTTCACTTCTGTCCTCTAGGTGGCGACAGATTACTTTAGATGAAAGTTTTTTCTGCTGCAAGGTCCTCTTGTGAGTGTAGTACAGTCTGAGACCTACAGGGGGTGGACAGGATCATTTTCATAATATTGGTACTTCTGCAAATACCATGTTTGATGATCTTATGTGCAGATTTTGAGTCATTTTACATGGCGCTTCTTTCAGCTTGTGACGGTGGCAAATGTTTGTTCCACATTTGCACAAGATTTTGCATCAGGGCCACAAAAATAAAGATTGAAGCGTTTCCTGTTTGACTGTGAGACGAAGTGGGATTTGTGTCATTTCACTGTTGTCCCTGGTGTTATGGACTTTTCTATTCAGGATTCTTGACGAGATTAGTTTCTCTCTTATGCCTTTGTTGTCACATTTCACTGTGTGTGAATCATTAACTTCTAACTAACATTAACCTGTGCCGCTATATTTGTTCATTTATGATCATTTTCTCATCTAGTATAATCTGCATTTTTTTGTGTGAATCTGTGTAATCGGTGATTCAAATAATTTCTGTAATTCTGTTTTCGGGTTTGACTTTAGCTCCGTCAACCATTAATCCTCCTCTCTGGCCGTTCGGAGCATCTCCGCCTCCCCCCCCAAACCAGTGGTTTTATCATTGTGACCTCATCCACCAGGCTTATGCAACAGCCCAATCAGAGGCATTGATCCGTCTCCGTGATTGACTGGCTCCGCTCCGCCGGAAGGAAGGAAGGAAGGGAGGTAGAGAGGGAGGGAGGCGGAGGTCGGAGGTTGGCGGTGGTGGGGTGTGATGCATGCTGGTGACGCTGTGAAGCCAAATCATTTGCCATTTCTGGGAAACACACCAGTACATTTTGATTCCCTAAGGCGTTTCGATGGTGCACGGGTTCATGACGTGCAAGGTCAAAGAGAATGACCTGAACCTAAAAAACCTAAAACATACTTCTCAGTAGAAAGAAAGAGATAAGTCCTGGATCGGGAATGATAAGAGTTAATAAGATGTTTATGTGCAGGAAGGTGTTTACGAAAGAGAAAGATTATTAGTATTCACAATCAGGTGGAAAAAGTATCAGCTCCATCAAGTGGAACTAAGATATGCAGCAGCTGTAGCAACCTGATTGTGTTCGGAGCAGGTCGGAGAGAGGATGAACGCACGACTCTCAGGGAGAACTGAGAGAAAGAAGGAGATTTGTGTAAGATTTTCCACTCCAGCAGAGAGAGGCAGAGAGAAAAATGAGAGCGAGGGTGGAGCAAAGAGAAACAGTGATCATGTTCCCTGGGAGTCCATTAGTGCAGCTACTAATGGATGTATTGAAAAAGGTGAATTGAAAGGGCAACAATTGGGTAAGTGGGCTTTTTGCCCAAGGAAACTTTGTTGAAAGGGGAGTTTTTCATTCAAAGAAAACATGAGGGTTAAAAATGTCAATTTATTTAGGTTCAAAGGTTATTTTAGCGTGTTCTTACAATGCTGAGTATCCAGTTTACCGAAAGTGCAGGTGATGTGCAGAGCTACTTCAAAACCCCCTTCTGATTGTGTCAGACGTGAAACAGCATTTCTATGATTTTCCAGTTTGATAAATGAACATCCAGCTCTGGGATCTTTGGACAACAATCTGCATTTTTACACACAATCACGGAGGCCAGTGAATGTTACAGTAAATGGTTTTATTTAAGTTTAATATTGTGATGTCACCTTCTCTCTCTCTCTCGGTGTGTACAGGACTCCACCCTCGCAGGGTTTCACATTCCAAAGGGTCACGGCATACTCTACATCAGCCACGGCGTCCACCGTGACCCGGAGATGTTCCACCAGCCAAATGACTTCCTGCCAGAGAGGTGGAGCGGCAGGTAAGGACAAAGCATCACTGAAGCATTCCTACTCATGATTTAAAGCGGTCATGAATTATTCATAGTCATAAAACACACTGGAAAATCTAAGATCTGTTCATCTTTCCTTGAAACATCTTTGAAAATGTTGAAAATGTCAGGATACAGAGAGGCGCACAGGTTTGATATTGACATTTATTCAATCTGTAAATAGCAGACTAGTAATCTACTTTGTCTGGGGTCTAGACTGCAGAAAGCTCTGTGATTCTGTGTTGGGAAATCACGTTGTACATACATACGCCTACATCGTTACCATGGCAACCAATGCAGATAGATTAACAACGCCTGAGAGCTCAAATCTGACCTGATCGCTCTCACACACAGGCATAGAGATCGACTGAATGAAACTATAGATGCACAAAGAGATACATGAAGACAGACAGTCTCTGGTTCAACAACATCCTTCACCGTCTGTCTGATACCTGCCGCAGTAAAATGACACCTGATCAGCCTCCTTCACTCCGTCAGTCATCTGTTTTCCTATTCCCTCACTTCCTCCATTCACCCGTTTACTCTCATTCATGTTTTTTCATTCAGGCGACAGAGGCAGAGGGGGAAAAAACTATATGTATGTAGGTAGGTAGCTGCTGCCATGGAAACCGGTCACCTGACACAGTCTTTACCAATTCTGTGTGCGTGTGCGTGCGTGCGTGCAGAGTGGGGGAAAGGGATGGATACAGAAAAATGAGTCATAGAAGATCCCATCGTGTTTGCTTGGATTTTCTTCTTCAGCACATGTGGCTCTCAGAACAAAAACAGGAAACTCCCTTTTTTTAATTTGGGGTTTTCCTTCTTACCCGTTAAATAGAATTACCACTATAAAACCCCTTTTAGTGGCACTTTGCTGATTTACTAATTGAAACCAGTTGAGATAGATAAAATTATGAGTAAATAAAATCAGTTTAAACTGTTTCCATGGAGGGATTACCCTCTTTTCCCTGACTTTCAAACCCTCACCACCCACATCACCTCAGTTTAGTTTTTAATTTTATTAAAACATATTAATTCAAGATATTTTCTTTTGATGATCTACATTTCCTAAAATATAATACATACATTTTGTAATGGATGTCTTTTTAAATTCACTGGTGTGTGTAAAAGCAGCAGAGCACTCAGCTGGAAAAAAAATTGATCTATGAATGAATAGACAGGTAGCTGCTTCCATGGTAACTGGCCACCTCACACCCTTTTTACCAATGGGGATTCCCCCTGCAATGTGTGTGTGTATGTGTGTGTGCACATCGTGCTCTGCAGGATGGGATGGGGTAAAAGAATGAGTCAGAGAAGAATCTAGAAAATGAGTCATAAAAATAAACTGAAATATCAATAAGAAAGTTTGTGTTGTACTATACATTCATAAAAAATCATTCTGAGCATTAAAGGATAAATAAATCCTTTTCAAGACCGACAATGAATTGATTCAACCTTTTAGTGTTGTTTGTGTAGCCAAAGCCGAAGCTTACTCCTCTAAGCCACAGACTGGATCTCCATTTGTGTCGAGAAATATAAGAGATGAGCCTTTACTTTGAACCAGTCTTGCTGCCGTAAATACTCACTATAGCTAAAAATCTGCAGCTAGAAATGTACAAATTCAATCATGAATCGAAAACTGCAGCTGTTTTAGAAACAAATGGAATGTATAAATAGATAGTTCAGTAAACATTCATTTTGCTGCTGGTAATAACAAAACCATCTACGCACTTTAAAAAAAGTATAATCACTAAACTGCCAACACATGGATGCCAGACGCTTCCACATCTAAAAATAAAATGCCCTAAAATACATTAAATTGTCTTAAATTGAGACTGGATGGGTCTTAATCTTTTTGGGCAAGTATATTTTCACTCTTGGTGTGTATCACCATCACAAGTTTGGTCTCAAGTGGTTTTAAAAAGGTCTTAAAATGTAACTTGTGTATAGATGTAGACGTATGTCTCATAACTGCTGCTCAAACTAGTGAATTTCCATCAGGCTGAATAAATCGTCTCTCTCTGTGTGTCTTTGTGTGTTTGCTGCATCTCCTCTTCCATCCTCCCCTTTATCTTCCAGTCGGTTTCTCTTTCCTCCTACCTTCTTCTTCCTCTGCCCCTCCATCTGCCAGTCTTCCTGGAGACAGTTTTTCCTGTCAGCCTCGATAGTTGCCTGGCTCCTTTCCTCGCCACCTGGCTGTTTAATTTAACGACTGCGGTCCTGTTACATAACAAGGCCACCTACAATATCTACAGTTTGACCACATCGTCTGTTTGTGCACACACCGTGCATGTGTGTTTCTGTGCGATACTTGTGTATATTGTGTGTGTATGAGTTTTTGTGTGTGTTTTTCCAGTTGGAAGCAAATAGTAAAGATAGCAAGTTAACATCCTGTCAGCCAAACGCCACACAGGCCCTGGCTGTGGATAAATAAATCCAACAAACAGATAAAAGTTAGAGCTGCTGCAGCAGGTTGTGTTGCTAGTTTTAGATCAATGAGTGTTTACTCAGCCTATTTTTTCAATAAATCTACCATTGCATGAGTGATTAGAAATAATCCAAGTCAATTCAAGATAACTTCACAAATTAATTTAGATTAAAGTTTTAATAATAGATTTACTGTCAAAGAGCAGGATTTATTCTGTAAAATTAAGGAATATTTTAAGATTATTTGCTCAACAATAAAAACACACAAACTAGGAACATTCTTATAAATATAACATTCCCAGAGTGACTTGACATTTTATTTCACATCTTTAATTCAGCAGTCATTGTTTTGTTTTTTGTGTCAACCAGCTAAATTTCTGTCAAGTTATTTCTGTTCGTCTACCGGAGGAGCCTGGGACCGAACCTTTAACCTTCTAGTTAGAGGACAACCCATTGTACCTCCCGAGCCACAGCTGCCCCACATTCATTAGTGTCTGTTGAGACCGAACTATCTAGGAAGAAACCTTTCCTGTTTGAATCCCTAAAGAAAATCTGAGTTGAACAAACAATCCATTTAAAAGCATTCAAGCGGTTATTTTGTCGGCTCTCGCTCAAATAAAACTCCATCATTTATACAGTACATAGATTTGAAACAACTTCTTGCTTCATTGCGTTCAGGTCATTTCTTAAATCCAGACATTTCTCATCTTTGCTCCATTTCATCTTCTGTGACTGTTGAGGCCTCATGCTCATCTTAAAACATTTATATTTTAGATAATTAATTATAGCCTGAAACATGTCAGTATGGAATCAGAGAATCTTTCTGGACCCTCTCTGTGAAAACTGATGTGTAATTACATTAAATACATCAATGTATTCAGAGTTTCATTTCACTTTATAGAAGAAAAAACAATTACACTGCACAGTGGATTAAACAGTGTGATTCACTTCCTATCCGCTCAGAATATTGGATTTTACCTGATGCTGGACTGATTCGTAAGTCTCTCTCTCTCTCTCTCTCTCTCTCTCTCTCTCTCTCTGTCACAGTATTACAAGATTGCATTATGCACTACAAGTCTCACTGTTTCAGGATGAGACTAATAGTACATTAAACCATTAGACAGATGCTGCAGAGAGCACTAATATTCTCCCTCTCTCTGTGTCTGTAACTCACACGCACACACACACTGGACGCAGACTATACACACTGCTAATGCTTCCTGTTTTCCTTTAATCAGAGCTCAGGTTTCAGGAAGACAGGATGCATTAGTGGTGAGAGGGGAGCGATGGTTCGTATCAGCAGGCTGTTGACAAACCTGCCTGTGTGGAACTGACCTGCAGCTCCTCATCTTAAATACGTTCTGAAAAGAAAAGAAACGTCATCCTCTCAAGAGTCCAGGTGATTTTCCTCTTGATCCGCAAAAGAGAAGATTGTCACTTAATTGGTACAGAGAGGTCGGAAGTGAAATTGGTTCCATGTTTACCACGCTTAAGCAGAATTCAACTATTTTTTAAACCCGGGCTGTATGTCTATGACTGTGAGTGTGTAAATGAATGTAATGGTGATGTTGTCAGACTCTTAGAAAAGAACCAGGTTGAACAATACCTGAATTCCCCTTCTAATGAACTTTTTGACATTGATGGAAGAAACTTGATTTTGCCCACAAAGACTTCTGCATTTATTCACATAAATGTAAAGTCATGAACAAGGTTCACTATTCACTGTCCACTCTTCATGTCCTTTCATTGGTTGTGAGACCATGTAGAGTGACGTCCACCCATCATGTCATCATCATCTGATCTTCGTATGATGTCACCTCTGATGGTCATTCTGTGGATAACAACGCCTCCTTTCACAGTTTCGTTAAGATGCGCTGAACAGCAGCATGAAAGGCTCATTATTCTGCTGAGCCAGCGACTATGAATGGAATCCAGTCCTGTAGAACAACGCTGGCTCGAGTGTTCAAACACAAATGTTTTTTTATTTGCACATATATTCATTTAAAAAAAAAAAACCATGTCACTGTGTTTTTTAATGTGCAGGAACGCAGGTCAGGAGCATTTCCTGTGTTCCTTCGGCAGCGGGCCCAGGAACTGCATTGGACCCAAGCTTGCAGACGTCTTCCTTAAGGTGACTCTGCTCATAACACTGCCATGCACAAACACAAACACACATACGAAGGTTTGACTCACGCAACAATCCTTGTCACTATCTTTATGACTTTCTGATGCATTTAATGGATTCCTTCATCCAAACAGACCCTGAGAAGAAGTTAATTAATGAGATGTTGAGACTTTCGAGTTGAGCTGCCTTCGCTCTGCATTTTTTATTTTGAGCTACTGAACATTGGGGAAAAATGGATTCTTCTTGATAAAGTGACAACGGTGCTGTAACTGTTGGAGCCACACCAACATGGATTTTTGGGGCCAATGTAGATACTGTTATTGGGGAGTAAATAATTCTGTTAACTGAAAAAATGGCTGATGGCCAAGATTTTCATTTTCAAACCCTTCTTTCAGAAAACGTCACTATATCGAAATTGAATGAACACGTACACAAAATGTAAACATAAATGCACATAAACATCTTTTCTGTATTATTCAACTCAAGTAAACTTCAACTCAAATTTTTATATGACTGATAAATAATAATATAATAATAATAATTATGGATAATTAACAGAATGTGTTGTTCTTTGTTTATGATCTTTTGAGTCGTAGTTCGGTGGTTTGAAGCTTAAATAGCTCAGTAAATGAAATAAGAGAGAAAGAAAGAGCAGAGATGGAGAGTTGAACCCCCCCCCCCCAACTGTTCAGTAAATAGAGCACTGCTCATGGGAATGATCAAATGCTTGGCCATGTGTGTGCGTGTGTGTTTGTAAGAGATATCAGACGAAAAGTCCAGGTACAGTTTGTCCTGTTTAAACCACCTGCTCTTCCCCACGGTGACATTCACCATAGCCACCGTTGCATATCCCATGAGACACATTTACAAACACACACATACATCCAGAGCCTATAGAAGACGCCGGAACTAGACAGGTGTTTTGCAGGTGTTGCAACAGGAAGGAGGGAGATTTATTTCCCATGCAGGGGTGTTCTCTCTGGAAACAGGTGTGTGTATGTGTACACACTGGGGAGTTCAGAGCTATTAACAACCTGAAAACAACCTCTGTGAGCCAGTGGATGATTTTCAGTAGCTGCAGATTCATGAATTGTAGCTTAAAAGTTCTGATAAAAGGTTTTTATTTTTTTTTTATTCCAACCAATAAAGTCGAAACAAATCGGACTAAAATAATGCTGGAAAATCCACCACACTGTTACTACACCTTCCAAGATTTCTTGCACACAGCAATCCTGCTGACGGACAAACAGACACAGCTGAAAACAACCTCCTTGGTGGAGTTAATGAAATCCGAAGTGAACTCCAGCTTTTCTTCTTATGTCAGGAGTTCCTCTGTAAAAGTCGATCGCTAAAACGGCAGCATACACATTGACTGACCCCACACAGCTGCGTCACAACGCGGAGGAAGTATACACACTATCCATCACACTGTTCAGGTTTATTTTACACTAATGATGTTCATGTTGAACCTCATCCCTCACTGTAACCTGCTCTGCTGCGGCTAAAACACCAGACCGATTGGTTCTTTGAAGTGTGTCTGATTGGTTCTCAGCAGGCCGACCACTCTCACACACACACACACACACACACACACACAGAAGGGCGTGACCAGAGTAAAAAGTAGACCGCTGGGCTCTAGGTCAGAAATGTGACTCATCGCCTCCTCGATTCATCCCTCCCCCCACTATCCTTCCTCCCTACCCCCACCCCCACCCCCACCCCCATCATCCTTCCTTCATCCTCCCTCGCTTCTTTCCTCCCTCCCCGCTTATCCATCCTGCTCCTCCCCCTCCATCAGGAGAATCTTCATTCATAAAGTGGGGGGAGGTGGGGCAACCGGGGGATGAGTCTGGTCGGATCAGTGGCTGAGTATCAGCCAATAAGAGATACTGGCTGTGGAATTACCAGCCATGAAGATCTGAGTGCACCTTTAGAATGAAAATAGAGTAGAGGATGAGGTTTCTTTCTGTCGTGAGGCGACATAGTTCAACTTTTACAGGAACATAAACAAGAAAACCGGTGACGTGTTTCAAAATAAGAATTGAAGACAGTACACTCTCCTCTACTTTCAGATTTTTTGGTGCAAAAGTGTACATTTACATAGACGACATGACAGTTCCCCAAAAGTGAAGCCAAAGCATCTTGATGTGTGACTGCAGTGTAGGTCCTGCCTCCTCCATGTTAATGGATGGGATATGGACCAAACTAAGAAGTACAAGTCAAATGAATTGTTCCTCAAGATGGTTTGGGTAGTGTACCCTGGATATTTTTGCTTTGTTACTAGTGGGAGGAAGAGAGGACGCGTCGTCCATCTTTATATACGTCTATGTTTGAACTTGAGAGGTGATGTTAATGATTCAAATTTTTACCCAATGTTCAGTTTCAGCTTGGCTGCTAGAAGGTGCTGCGTTGCTTTGCCATTTCCAAATCTGGAAAAAAAACAACGTACAAGTGTTATGGAGGCTGTAGCTTTGCAAGTTGGAGACTTATTCAGCGTTGGCGGATGCTCTTCCTCTGCCAAGTGCCTTCAAGTCTCAACATTTCGTTTTTAGCTCTGCAGTAAAATGAGGAAATCATCATGTACAGCCCACACTGCTCTTAAATCTGTAGCGTCAATAAGTAAGTTCTGTAAAAATGCAACATGAATCAGGTTTGTTGTCTTGTGTGCCGCCCTGTGCAGGAAGCGTGCATGTACCTGTTAACGCACTTCGACTGGCGTTTGGACCCTCCATCACAGGACCTCGAGTACAAATGGCTGCCTGTGTCTCGCCCCGCCAACCCCCCCACCATGTCTTTCACCCGACTGGATCAGACCAGATCTGACAAGAGCGACACCAGCTAGGGGATGCACAGCAGATTTAGTGAGGTACCAGTTTATAGATTACAAAAAACAAAACTACATGAAGGCTCTAAAGAAACTGAGAAAATATCCGAACACACAGGGAGAGGGAAGCCATCAAAATGTGAGGCTTTCCCCTGCTGCGTATAATACAGTAATCGTCCTGGGGGAAGCCGGGGAGTGTGTTGGTTTCACTCTGAGAGTTCCTCTGCAGCTCTCTTTGATGAATCTGCACCATAAGACAAAGTAAATGACTCATTCTTCCATTGTTAAATATGACAACGCTAGACAGTATTTTTCTCCTCCTGTCACTTTTTTTTAATGAGTCATATTTCCCAGTATAAAAAGATCACGACACACAAATCTCTTCGGCTCATTAAACTTAACTGCAGCAACTTGTCTCATAAATCAGGCTTTGCTTCAAGGTTGAACTGATATATATTGAATTTTATTTGTTTTTTACTTGTTTTAAATTCAAATTGAAATATCTCCATACATAGCTGCAGTTTTATTAACGTAGAAAATTGTTTTTTTTGCCACACTGTAGGATCAGTGTTTAAACCAAATAAATCCAAGGAAACACACACACACAGGTACACACGTGCACACACAAACACCGAGGTAAGCCCTCAGATTCCATCACTGACGGCAAACCTGCCTCCCCCCCTCCTCCTAGCAACCACCACTGCTTAGCAACAGTTCGTCATAGCGACACTGACTTGCCTCCCTTTAGTATGCAAGTCTCTCCCTCGCTCTCACTCAACACGCACACACACTAACCTGGTTATTTTTGAATGCGTTCAGTCGGCAGTGATATGCATGCCATCTGAATCACATGTAAATGATGCCAGGAGGCGTTTAAGAGCACACGCCTGCATTTTAAATTATTTTGGAGACTTGGAAGGATTTTTAGCACTTGATTCATGAACCACACACCAGCCTTATCATCTACCTGTGACACTGATACAAGTTTTAATGTCTAATTTATTAATTTAAGTGTAGCAGTAAAAATTGTGTTGTTTATGTTTGTATCTGTGTTTCATAGAAATGCTTGAAGCGTTAAAACATTTGTAACATCAAGTGATGTTTTTGAGACAGAAATCTCAACCTTTGTGCTGCATTGTTGTTTCATCAGCCTGTGGTTAAAGTAAAAACTGTTCAAATAAGCTGAATGAAATGTTTCGTTTCAGCTTCTTCTCTTGCGTTGTCACTTCAAATTTAAAGATGAAACACTCTGTGGCCACAGATTAATTTTCTTGAGTTGTCTCTGCCTGGTTTTCACAGAGAGTTTTAGTGCAAGAGTTCCCTTGATGTAAAACAATGAGATGTCCTCGGATTAGTTTCAATAAGACAAATCATAGATTGTTGAAAGTTCACCCTACACACATGCAGTATATCAGAGGAAGTCTTTCTATGTGATGTTTCTTCCATGTCTGTGTGGGTTTTCCCCGATCACTCCGTCTTCCTCCCACAGTCTACAGACATACTGATTGATGTTATGTTAATTGTAGACTGTAAATTGTCCGTAGGTGTGAATGTGAATGATTGTTTGTCTCGGTGCCCTGCGACACACTGGCGCCATGTCCAGGGTGTACGCCTCTCGGCCAATGTCAGAAAAGGGATAAGCCGTATAGATAATGGATGGATAATAATGGATATACACGAACAATATAGTAATACTTTTTTATATTTGTATCGTAGCAGCTTATTCATTGTTTACAACGTAATATGTTTAGTGTGTGAATAAGTCCTGGTGTGTAACATGTATAAAATGTGAGCTATGCTGTCAATGCTGTCTGCAGTATAATCAGCTATAGGTCTGTGTCTCTGAGACTCTTTTGTCCTGTAACAGAGCTGCTCAACAAACCCACTGTTCTCTCTGCTGCTGTGGCTGAGGGGGTAGAGCGGTCGTCCTCTAACCAGAAGGTTAGTTCAGTTCCAGTCTTGCCCATCTGCATGCCGAAGTGTCCTTGGGCAAGAGACTGAACTCCAAATTTGCTGCCCATGTATGAATGTGTGGGTGAATGGCAAAAAACTACTGTAAATCACTTTGAGTGATCATCAAGACTAAAGATCTATTCAAATACAGACACACACACACACACACACACACACACACACACACACACACACACACACCACTCTGATACACACTGAACTATGCTGCAGGCTTCCATATTTCTCTGTTACACTCACATACTCTCGGAGACATAAATCACGTAGAATCTGGCAGAAAATGGGGTTCTTGTGAGCCGAGTGCTATGACTCACTGCTCTCCCCACACTTGTCCATTAGCTGATGCTCCTACTCGCAACACTTTTCGACAGGCGAGAACAACTTGCTCTGAATCCTCCTCACGCCCGAGAACAAACAACTCTTGTTTCATTTATTTCATTGTTTCGTCTCATTTTCTCTTTTGTAGCAATTTCATTATTGTCTTTTTTTCTGTTTCACTCCTCTGATCTAGTTCAAATGGCTGTGAGATTGGTAGACTGAACATTTAAAGAACCATTTTCATGGTTTGTGTGTTTTAGCTCAATATCTAAAGTCAACACATGCTTAATTTCTATTCATTTCTATAGTATGATAATGTTTTATGTGTTTTTTTTCATGATATTGATAATGAGGTTATTTTTATATAAAATAATGTTAAGGTTATATTATCATTGGTACTGATATTTACTGAGGAAAGTACAGTTACTCGTGAGGAGACAAGTTGGAGGTTGCTTTCACATGTGTCCATTAAATAATCTATAAGACCCTTTAATGCTCAACAATCAACATGTAATATATGTAATATATATATATATATATATAGACACAAACTGAAAATGTTGAAGAATTTATTCTCTTATTCTACAGAAGCACAACAGAAACCATTATCTGTGAAGTCACCTGACGGACAAATCAGCATTTCACACTGCACATTTGTTGCATTCCACTCTAAGCTGACTGTGTGCTTGTCCTTCACATTGTACAACATCATTTAAAAACCACCTGACTGCGTGTCCTTCAAACAATGCCCCAGTGAATTTGCTATCATGAATGTCCATCTATTCATTCATCCATTTTCTTCCCGCTTGTCTGAGCAGGGTTTTCCAGGCGTCCCTCTCTCAGCTCCACAGAGGAATCCCGTGACGTTCCCAGGGCAGATGGGAAATAAAATCCCTCCAGTGAGTTCTGGGTCTTCCCTGTGGATCCCTGCCCATAAACCCCCAAATGAAGGTGCATGGCATTTTAATGAATTTCAAGATTAGAGTAGAGCTATTTGTTTCCCTTTGTATAAGATGACAGCTGATTGCAGCTCACAAGTGGAGCTCATCATTCTGTATAGTTCATAAGGTAACATGCATTATACTCAGACATAAAATAATCTTACACAAGTCATATAATTAATGCCAAAATAAAAGATTGAAATTAGTAATAATATGACAACTAAGTTAAGTTAAAGCAATGCTATGACTTTATATGGAGCCATCTTGTTTTCCAGAACAGAGGACTTTCACATTGTCTTATCTTTTATGAAGCGAGAGGTCAAAATTAAAAGAGAGTAGAGTCCAACTGATATGGATTTTTGGGGAAAATGCAGAAATATCTATATTTGAAAAAATAATTGTAAATTATTCCTAAATTGCCGTCATCAAATCCTCGTGACAAATAAATGTAATTTAGGCTCGATATTTTAGTTTAACTATAAACTTAATTATGAATAATTTTAATTGAAAAGAAAACACAAATACATAGAACTGAAAAGAAGATTTCAACCGAAATGCTGATCTAGTCTTCATAGCTTATTTAGTAATAAAAACGTCTTCTATGAACGGCTCATATCGACAGATTCAACCTACAAGTCGGTCAGATTCTAGAATAAAGAAAGGAATAACTATATGGGGTCATTTTCTATTTTCCAGGCTCAAGAGAAAAAGTAAATCATGTCAGTCACTGTCTGACTCACACGTGTCTAACAGGAGGTAGGACAACATATCCAGATGGCAGAACAAAGCCTTGGGTCAGTTTTAATGAGCAGAGCTAATTACCACATGACTGTCCTATCCGTCCACTCCCAGTGGACTGTTGGCCTTTAACAGGGTATAAAACAGGAAGTACAGGCAGGAAAACCCCCGACACATGCTGGGACCCACACAGAGTCGTCACTGTAGACACGAGTGGGTAAGTAAGCACAACTGTATTTATAGACCCCTTTTCGAAATGACACACACAATAACAGTATTAATAAATACGTCAATTAGAAATGAGCAAAACTTATGAAACAAAGGCCTTTAGCAAAGTGAAATCATGGAATTAAAAACACTTTTGTTTGCTGACCTGACCTCCAGAGGAACACTAGTCCATAATCCCCCCCGGGGCCAGGAAGGGAAGAACTGCAGGTCCTGAAGTTTGAGCTCGGCTAAACTACAAACTGTCACTGTGACAACCAGAGAGTGGATCTATACAGAGTCTGTATATGTGTAACATGCTCCTGGCACAGTTCTTCAAATCATAGTAGACTCAGCTGATGGTGGAGACACGTCGTCCATCTTTATGTCTTCAAAAATATTGTTTAAATCAATTCTTTAGTTTTAGGCCTTTTTTAATTCTTAGCCTTGTTACACATTTCCACTTTGCTTTGGTTGAATCATTTCTGTTCGTGTTAGCATTTGTAGCCCCTGAAGTTTCCTTCATATCAAACGTTGGACTATTCTGTGGCTGAATTCCAGCAGCGATCACCAGACCTCACAAAACCACAGAGACACACATCCACTCACATAAACACACAATCCGACAACACAGCAGCACGCACTGCTTGTTGCTTACTACAGTGTTTGTCTGCGCTCAGACAGGCAGGAAGGAAAGAGCCATTAGTCACTGAGGTGCCATCAAGCACGGTTTAATTGTCTCATTCATCTTCCCTCCTGCTGCTGAACGGCACGCTGCCGCTCAGATTCACCGAGTGAACCCTCGGCAGTAGAACACGCCGTCAAGTCAGAAAACTGGCCTGTATCTTGTGATGTAACTGCCTCAGACAGAAGTCTGAGAAGTGGTCAGTTATAGTTGTCCATTAGGTCGCTCAGCTCCACAGAACATTAATGAACCTCCTGGGACTTGTCGAGGAAGTTGGCGGATGTGCGGACGCGGCTCCGAATCTGTAGTCGTGTCCCCGGTTGTCAGCACTGATGGAATTAGTGAGCGAAAGTCTTCGTGAGAGAATCTAACTTGAATTTGAAATGAAATAAACTAACAACACAATTCATTTGTTAGTGTGTATTTTGTGAAGTGAAAAAACCAGTAGACTAATAGTCTCCAGCCAGCAGCTCTGTGAGTCACACAGCCGGAGGAGACCACCAGAGACCATCATCCTGGCATAAAATACAGGGGAATATATTGATCAGTATTCCCGTCCATCCATTTGCCTGCTATTGAATATTTTTTTCCAGAGCATGATTTAAAATCCATTTGGAATATATTATAATTATTTTAATCGTGTGGTGAAATGATGATTTTTTTTGGGGGGTTTCCCAGGGGATATTTAATCTCCTAATGGCTCGTCTTTTTATTTCTGTAATCCTTTTTTGTTGCTATGAATTATCTCACATTTTTATAGCTGAGCTATTTGTAATGTTGCTGATCAGCGACTTCTTACAGCAGAAAAAACATGGATATGTGGGTTTATAGCCTAAAGTGTTTCCTTCTGAAAACAGAGTACATCTTACATTTACAGGAAATATAGTGTTATAACTGTAAAATAGATCAAAATCATTAATATTCTTGATTCAGAAAACATTAAATCAAAGTCTCAATTAATGAATAAACCAACAGAGGTGCTTCTTTTAGTCCTCTTCAGTGCTTCATTGTCTTCTGACACTAAAATAACTCAACAGCTCATTATGCACAGACTATTTCAGGAGCATCTGTCATCCACTTGTGACTCTCAATATAACTTTAACATTCAAATCAAATGCCGTTCCATTATGTTTCAATTGTAACGGGGGAGATGGAGAGAGAACAGGGGAATCAGATGAGTGGCTGTGAGGACAGCTGAGTAAATGCCTCCGTCCCTTTTTGACATACTCTCACTCTGCACTCTCAGCCACTCTTCCTCCTCTTCTGTCTCTCACACTGTGTCGCTACCCTCAATCTCTTCTCCTGTGTGCAGTCATTAATTTCAACATCACGGAACATCACTTGACCTGTTTTTAAGC